ACATTACATTGATCTCTAATTTACAGGGAGGATTTTAAAACTCTTTTAAGGGCTGGAGTTGTGGCTCAGTGGTTGAGCACTTGCCTGACACATGTGAGGCGCACTGAGTTTGATTATTAGCACTGCATAAGAATAGATAGATAAAGAAAGAAAGAAAATGTTGTGTCCATCTGCAATTAAAATAAATATATATTTAATTTATATATAAATATATATATATCTATATATAAATTTATATAGAGAAAGACATGTATATCTTTATAACAAAAACTCTTTTAAGCCAGGCATGGTGGCGTTCACTTGTAATCCCAGTAGCTTGGGAGGCTGAGATGGGAGGATCATGAGTTGAAAGCCAGCCTCATCAACTTAGAAAGGCCCTAAGCAACTTAGCAAGACCCTGTGGCTAAATAAAAAAGCGTTGGGGATGTGGCTCAGTGGTTCAGCATCTCTGGGGTCAGTCCCCAGTACCAAAAAAAAAAAAAAAAAAACAACTTTTAAGCCAGAGAGACTCCGTTTAAATGAAATGTGAAGAAACCAATTATGCCAAACAGATATGAAAGTAGTTAGTTTGATTAGTGAATTGTGCCTGAACTCATTCATCTCTTTTCATGGTGCTTATACAAAGGCCCTAGAATAGTCCTGAATTAATCATTAAGAAAAATAAGCAGGAATTTCAGGCACCAAGGAAGGGGAGCTCCATAGAAATTTTGTCCTAATTATGGTGTCTTTAACTTCTTCACTACTATACTTGACTTTTTAAATAATTGTCTTTATCTGCTATGTTAAAACAATTTTTTTTAGTTGTCAATGGACCTTTATTTTATTGATTTATATGCGGTGCTGAGAATCTAACCCAGTGCCTCACACATGGGAGGCAAGTGCTCTACCACTGAGCCACAACCCCACCCATGTTCAAATTTAATCTGCACTGTTAAAAAAATCATTAAGTGACAAAAGTTTAAAAGTTTAGTTTGAAGTTGTCATGAGATGTTACTACTACTCATGAGATATCGTAAGTTGTTTCCTACACATGCTGTAACTTTAATTTCTGTCAAAAATCAAATCAGCCAAGTCTATAGAGAATTTAATTCATCATCTGATTTGTGTAAAGAGCCCTTAAGCAATGCAAAGGCTGGGGTCATTATTGTTGGGCTCTATGTAGAAAATCAACTGCTCAGAATGCAGCCCTGCTCTACAATGCATTCCAAAAGTCCATTGGTACAGTACTGGTTGTGGTGGCGCATGTCTGTAATCCCAGTGGCTGGAGAGGTTGAGACAAGAGGATTATAAATTCAAAGCCAGTCTCAGCAATTTAGGGAGGACTTAAGTAACTGTGCGAGACCCTGTCTCTAAATAAAATATTAAAAATGGATGGGGATGTGGCTCAGTAGTTAAGTGACCCTGGATTCAATCTCCAGTACCAAAAAAAAAAAAAAAAAAAATCCCCTGGTACAATGGAAAAAACATGGAAATTGGCACATGAGAAGGGCTTAATTAATGTTAGTTTCCTTTTTTGTTGCAGCTCTAATACAAATTTTCTAATGGTTAATAATTCATATTCCTATCTTGGCAATTCTATTCACAATCAAGACTATAACATAGAGCTTCTAACTGAGAAAAGCTCAGAACTTAAAAAGTTATACAGTTTTGAACACAATTTCAGAGAGCTCAGAGACTTCACAATAAGAACTATTCTAATCATTTTTTTATTAGAACAGTGGATGTTTATTAGGAATTTATAAAAAAAAGTATTGTTTATATTCATTTTATTCTAAAAGGGGGTTGTACGTAGTTTACAAAATATGGTACATATGAAAAGCTAGAAGTGAGAAAATCGGCTATAGGGAAAGCAAAAATAGGCAAAAAATGAGATGAAGCAGGAATATAGGGAAATACCTAGGTATAGGATAATATTTTCAAATTCATAGCCAAGGTAAAGTCCAAGATATGATAAAAATATTTAACTTGTATTTTTTAAATTTCCTTTTCCTCTATCTTCCTACTTTTCTTTGTTGTGCGTACAAACATCTGTCTTTTTCTTTGTATCCTTAAGACTTTTTCTTTTTCATGTGCCTTTGAACTATAAGAGGACACTGATGCCTACATCTGTTATTTTTATATGCCATTTTGAGTTTTAAAATCACTTTAGTTTAATCTGTACTCCCATCTACTCCTCCAGAATTACTTGCTATCTGTATCCATGTGGTCTATTATTGACTTTTTCTGATTCTTATTTTGCAGTTGACTTAAATATTTCTCATTTTTGCTTTAAATTATGTTTCTGACTATTATAGTATACTTTTAATGTTAAATCAACATAAAAATATTTCAGATATTAATCAATTATTTTGCATTACTCTAGGGAGAAAACTTGTAATTAAAAGAAGATGTCGTGATGAAAAAAGTGGAATTGTTGGTACTGTGCTGTGTTTACTTATTATATGTAGCTCATATTGCATAGAAGCTGTTATTTATTGCTTTTGAATAAATTTTATATTTTAATTTTTTAAAGAAAGCCCTTTCTTTTAAAAGTTAATTACATTTTTAGAGAACATTAACCCTTTTTTTGGTTTAAACTTACTGCTTTCTTTGTCTTTGTTTATTATGCAAAGATCATTGTTAAAATGTGTAATACTTATTTACATTTTTAATCATACTACTATATTATTTGCTATTTTTCTAGTAATACTTAATTTTTAAGTTAATATGAATTTAAAAGTCATTCTGTGACAGGTTCATAATTATATAATACTGGGTAACTTGTGGAGTGTTTACTATTTATCAGATATTATTCTAGGCACTTTATATTTAAACTCATTTAATCCTCATAACAACTTATGAAATAGATTATTATTTTAGTTTTATAGGTAGAATTATTTAACATAATGATAGAAGTTAATATGTTCTAAAGAAACTAATTTAAGTATCAAGAGATGAGCTTTGGGCTAATGACTTTATATATACATGGTTAGTTAGCTCTGATAGAATAAAAATAGTGCAGCACAAGTAAGGTGAGATGTTTAAGCCTTCATATTTAAAAATTTCTCAAGAGTCTTGATGTCTTTATACCAGATATTGAATTTATAAATGAATATAAATGTATCCTTAAAAAGTTGTATGGGATTAATATTTTCTAAGAGTTAGACATTAAAACCATTAGTATATTGATATTACTATTTTAACAACACTAATTTAAAATTTGTAATTATTTGTCAGGAGTAGAATAAAGTTTTATCTTCTTGTTGCTATTTACTAGTGTATTGATCCAAAGAGTCACTTGCTGATTCAGTCTTCTCTTCTAAGCACTCTTATTTCCCTGTCTTTCTACCATGTGCCTTGTCACTTCTTACTCCAGGACTACTTAGTGTTAATTAATAGTGTCACAATGTATATCTGATACCTTTATAAATTTGTAGTTTCCACTCTAAGTTGGACTCTTAATTCTTGAAAAACATGTACCTTCAGGGTTCAGCTTTTTCTTCCATCCCATCTCTAAGGGCTTATTTACTTTCAGCTTCTTTCTCTGACTTCTTTCATATACTTTAGCCCCATCCCTTTGGCACCTTCTGTTCATACAAACATGTTTAAATCCTTTCCCTAGCCTAAAATAAACAAGCAAAAAAGCAAAACAAAATAGAATGTACTACCTACCAGTCAAAAATTCTGCCTTTCTATGTTGCATACTCTTGTTTAGTCCTTTTCACATTCCGCTTGATAGTTGCCTCTCTTATTTATCACCATTTTTTAATTTATCACCATATTTTTTAGAAGAAAAAAAAACAGATACAAAAAGATTTATCTTCTCATGGTCATATAGCTTATAACATCTAAAATTTGAACCAAATATATTTGCCTTTAACTTCTCTGAACATCATTCTCAGTATTTAAGTATCTCAGTATCTTTATCCGCCTGACTCTAAAATACTGGGATCCTTTGGTTTCTACCTGTACCTCCCTTCTTACGGTACATGTCCTTCCTAGATAATCTCATCCAGTTCTGTTGCTTCAATAAGAATCTTTATGGTAATAACTCCCAGATCTATATCTCCATCTTTGCCTTACAACAGATCTTACTTTTTGCTGTTAACCCAACAATTCCCTGGATATCCTATAGTTGTTGTTTTGTTTTTGTCCTTGGAGGATTGGGTGGTGGTACTGGAGATTGAACCCATGTTCTTGTGCATGCTAAGCATGTGTTCTAACATTGCACTATACCCTCAAATCCCTGTAGCTATTTTTTTAAGAAGAAAAATTTAAATTTGATTTTCCTCAATTTGCTTTTTTCTGTTTTTTTAAATTTCCATTTTGGTTTGCTTATTTTGTATCATTTTTTACCCATTCTTGCCATCAAAGATCATGATAGTGGTTATCAGATCATTCTTTTCCCTTTTTACAAAATGTAGAAAAACTACTGTGGTTCAGCCATCCATACCTGTGGCTATATCAGGGGCTTGTTATCATGTCCTTCATCTCTCAAATCTTATATTTCAGCATTCCCATTCATTATTTGATAACTTCATATCCTTTCAGTTTTCTTACTCCCTAACCCCTGTTAATGTTTTTCCACATTATTAATAATTATTTTCATTTACTATTTTTCTCCAATAAAGAATCCCAGTATAGAAGTAATTTACAAATTATTTAAGAATATACACTTTGAATAGATAAACTTAGGTTTCCAACCATGATGAAATATTGGTAATAGTCTTGCCCTCATGCCCTACATAATTAAAAAACTGGACAAAATATGCATGAAGCTCTTTCCAGGCATGGAATTGCAGGAAGCACAAGACTGTAATCCTTGAAAGAAAGGAAATATTCACAGTTAGCCCCATTATTTGCCTAGGCTCTCAAATTTGCCTACCCCCAGTATTTGCCTAGACTTATTCATTAAAACTGTGGTAATATCATGCTGAGCTAAGTAGGCATATATCAAAGTTCAGTGTTGCTACAGTGGAATTTTTTAGGCAGAATACCAGAGATAAGGAATCTTTTCAGAAAGGTTAGTCAAAGACTGAGGGTTTCCCTCAACTCCTTTGCAAAGAACAAACCAAACATATAATGGAAAAAAATTTACAGCTTAAAAACTGGCTACTAAGTGGCTGAGTAGAAAGGAAATTACCAGAAATTTCAAAGTTCTGGGCAATGTTGGAGTTCTGACCCAGCCATAGACACAGGTAACTTGCTGAGTACCTCAGCATGTAGTTGAAACATCATAAATGCCAAATTTTACAAATAAAACCAAGCCATTGAGTTAAGGTCACACCATTGAACTAAATCAAAGCCAAAATAGATTCACTCTAGCAAAGGAAAAACCCAAACCTGAAAGGATTAAGAAGTTCTGCCATAATTTGACTCAGTGCTATTTAAAGGAAGGCAAAATAATACTTTTTAAAAATATTTTTTAGTTGTAGATGGACACAATATTTATTTGTTTGTTTGTTTGTTTATTTTTATGTGGTGCTGAGGATCAAACTCAGTGCCTCACATGTGTGAGGCAAGCATTCTACCACTGAGCTACAGCCCCAGCCCTAAAATAATACTTTTTAAAATTCCAGAATCACTATTATGTGTCAGTTTAGTGTTCAGGATGCAACAAAAATTTGTCTGACATGAGAAAAATATTACTTCATAACCTAAAGAAAAGGCAGTCAATAGAAATCAACCCTAAATGATCCAGATATTAGAATCAGCTAACATTATAATGTAACTTCTGTAAAGATTTTTTAGAGGTGCAAGAAAAATATGGACACTCTGAATGAACAAATGGGGAGGAATATTAACAAACCAATAGAAACTATAAAGTAATCAGGTGGAAATTCTAGAACCAAAAAAGGTATGATATCTCAAATTATAAAATCCCTAGTATGAGCTTAACAGAAGTTTGGAGATGACATAAAAGTCAGTTGACTTGAAGACAGTTTAATAGGAAATATCTCTTGAAGAACAAAGGGAAAATGGTTAAATAGATATGAACAGAGCATCTAAGGCCTATAAGACAAGATGAGAAGAAAATAGGACAGAGAAAAAAGGTATTTTAGCAGTATGGCTGAAAATAGCCCAAAATGGGTGAAAAAATTACAACCAGTGGATTAACCAGTAGATCTGAGTTCAGTTAACCATAAGTAGGATAAATAAAAAGAAAATCATAGGCATATAATAGTGAAAATCTTGAAAAATCAAAAATAAAAAGAATTATCTTAAAAGTAAACAGAAAAAAAGCCTCAGGTAGAGAAACAGTGATCCAAAGGAGGATAGTTTCTAATCAGAAATAGTGAGACATACTTTAAATATAAAGACACCAATAGATTTAAAGTTAAAAGCATAGAAATAGATATATTAGGGAAACAAGCATAAGAAAGCAAGTTTAAGAAAACTTCAGGGTCATATAATATTGAAAAAAGTAGACCTCAAAAAAAACCAACATAGTGCCAGAGATAAAGAAGGTTGTTTCAGCTGGATGTGATGGCTCATGCCTGTAATCCCACTGCCATAGGAGGCTGAGGCAAGAGGATCGTAAGTTCAAAGCCAGTCTCAGCAACTTAACCAAGACCTTGTCTCAAAGGGGGAGGGGCCACTAGGGATATAGTTCAGTGGTTAAGTGCTTCTGGGTTCAATCCCCATTACCTAAAACAAACAAGCAAAAAAATTTTTTCATAATGATAAGAGGATACATTCAGTAGGAAGATGTATTCCTAATTTGTGTATACCAAATAACAGACTTCAGAATACATGAAATAAAAACAAATAAACTAAGGGAGAAATGGAAAAATCCACAATCATAGTGGGAGAGTTCAACCTCTATTTTTCAGTAATTGAAAGAATAAAAGACAAAAAAAATTCAGTAAAGATACAGAAGATTTGAATAACATTGACAACCAACTTATATTTAAAGAATATATTCAACAACTCAACTACATAATACACATTTCTTTTCAAATGCACCTGGAACGTTGACAAACCATGTGCTGGTCCACAATTTAGGTCACTATGAATTTCAAAAGACAAATCATCTTGCAAAAGTTCTTTGATCAGTAGAGAATAGGACAGACAGCAGAATACATCAGACACTAGAAAGGCAATATGTCAATCAATGGAAGGGTAACTGATGTGATACAGCAATCTGTAAAGTTG